ATTCTTTCCGTCCCAAACCCAGGCACTAATAGGTCCACTTGAGGACAATTGTAAAAATTTGTTTGAATAAGTAAATTAACAATATCTAAAACCCTGAGCGGAATTAAAATTTCATCAACTCCTTCAAATTGTCTTCTCCCTCAGGGCTGTCCCGGAATTTTCTCTCACATTTTCTGACTTGTTCACATTTACCAGCTCTAAGCCCAGAGATCTTACCTGCTTCTTCACTTCAGTCTAATACTTTTAATTGCCAAAATCCTACTGGGAGAGGCACTCTAGAAAAATAGAACAGACAGTACTTAAGGGATCATTAACAGCTAGACACCTGCTACACTATCATTGGAGTTACAGCAACACCAATAATTGCCTTTAGCAATTAGAGATCCAAGGCATTAAGGTTTCCCTCCAATGCACTGTTGATAGTTGTTGTGGAACCCGACAGAATTCATTTCCTATAACAAAGATGAGTCTAAAATTTTGATTGGCCTTTGTTTTCTTGAATAGATTTTGGAGAATTGTTTTTAATGAAGGGCTCTGAGCTGAGCTGCCACTTCCCTTTTTGTCTTGTTCACAAGGAGTCTTGAAACAATCTTGGAACTTGGCCCATATGATAGAAAGGGACCTTTGATTTTAGAACTCCAGAACATTTTTACTTATTTTTGTTCAGTGACAAATGCAGACAGACACTCATAACTCCAGCCAGCATGCTTAGTGTTCACCTGCAGTTCAACAAAGCCAGGCAGCCAGTTTTCAAAGTGAAGGGTGTTTAAAAATTCCAGACAAAGGAGATCACGTAGAGAACTCATTCTTAGTGAATTTTCACGTTCATCTTCTCAAAAGGATGTCTTTGTGCTTTTGGGTGGAGAATGACTTGGGAGAACATCAAAAATCAGAGGAAATATTCAACTTTTGGGAAAAAAAAAACAACTTATGCGGCAAGTCGCATTTTTAAAAGCAGCTGTATAACCTTTAATTCACACGAACACCCACATATCTTTTAAAACCTGCTTTCTCACCACTCTGACAGTTAGAATTTTATCTCTTCACTCTTAAGATTTCTCTGGAGAGTGAAGTACTGCATCATTTTGACAAACCTGAATGTGAAGAGATGAATGCTCCTCATCTCTGAAACACTTCAGGGTAAGTTGCTTTAACCAGTTTCCTGTTTTCAGAGGCTATTTTTCTGTCATCCCTTCAGATCTATCAAAGTTCATTTAATTCTTCTAACAGTCATATTTTATAAAAAGTAGAATTCTTTTCACACTCATACTCATGGCTCTGAGATCTGGAGCCATTCTGACTACCACTATCATCTGGAGGGCCGGCCATATGCACTGAGATGCAGGAAGGAGACCAGTGTGTGCAAAGGACCCACCCCACCCACGCTCAGCCCGAGAATTACTACTTGCCCTGCTTTCTTCTTGCTTTCTGGAAATCTCCCTTGCCTGAGGTACACATATTTCCAGCAGGGCAGGATGGAATATCTTTATATTATAGTCAGCATTCAAAATATTTTGCTGAGGGGACATGGATGGATGTGGAGAAAACCCCAGAATGTTAACTGAAAACCAATTACTCCTAGCAGCTGAAAGCTCCTTTTGGCAGTTTGGGAACAACTTTTTAAATAATAGTATAGAAAATGTATCATTCAGAAAATTCAATGTGCTGAAATAGAGAAATGGTAAATAAAATTCAGTATCCTTAAAGACTAGATCAGAGGCTGACTCACAACAGTCTGCAGGCCAAAGATGGCCCCTTTATTCCATATGCTGTTAGGTGATATTCTTTTCTAGTCTACTTTTCACTAAAGCTTCATGTGTGAGTCTTGGATTCAACATCTTCATTTGGCAAGAGGCTCAAGGCTTGGATTTCTATTCTTCTACAAGGTGGTACAAGTATTTCCCCATGATACAACCTTGATATTGGTTTATGGTTCACTACCTTGATTTTTTCTTTCCATCCCTCCAAAAAGTCCTCTTAAAACTATGACTCTGTTCCTGAAGTGGCTTGTGAGCTACAGATGCTTTCTCCAATTTGAAATTGTTGAAAAAATCAAAAGAACAACAACATTTCTTATGACACTTGAAAATGATATGAAATGCAAATTTCATGTCTATAATAAAGTTTTATTGGAACAGTCACATCCATCTGTTGATATATTGTTTTTGACTGTTTTCATGCCACAGCAGAGTTAAGCATTTTCTGGGTCAATAGTTGTGATGGAGAAAAGGCGGCCTTCAAAACCTAAAATGTTTACTACCTACCTTTGCCAGGGTGTGCTGACCAATAGGCTAGGTTATTATATGACAGTTGAACTGATGCCATTTAAAAATATTTAGTTGTAAGAGAAATGTTTGTGGTAAAATATTTAGTAAAGCAGTCATGACAAACTGTATAATATGAGACAGTCCCACATAGTTTACTTTCCTAACATAATTTTTGACTCTTCCCCCAGTTGAAATGTAAACGCCAGGAAAATAAATAGAAATTGCCATTTATTGATTGATTGATTTAGGTTCAGTTCCTAGAACTATGCTTGGCACATAGTAGATGCTCCATATACAAATGAAGGCAGTCAAAGATAGATAAATTGTGTCATTCCATCATGTCTCTATATAGTAATAGTTATAGCAGAAGTTTCTGGGATGTGCATATACGTTAGGCATCAGGTTGAGGACTTCAAATGTAAGAGCTCATTTAATCCTAAAAGGCAATTTGGGAAGGTACATTCTCACCCCCATTTTACAGAGGATGAAAGCAAGGCTTAGAGAGATTGCTTAACTTGTCTAATGTTACAAAGCTAAGAAGTAAGGTGACCAGATTTCAAAAGATCTGTTGGATTCCAGAGCCTAAGCTCTCAGCAGAAGTTCTACTTCTTAAGTTTCTAAAAACAGTGTACATTTTGAGGTGAGAAAGAAAAGGATGAGAAAATACCAGAAGTCAGTATATAAATCACAGAACCAATTACTAAGCTCCTATCCAGGGCTTATAGATGATTTTTGTTTTCTTAGTTTTACATGCTAATGTATTTCCACATTTCCTGAAATGAGTAGATTTGTTTTTAATTGCTTTAAAAATAAGAAACAAATGTCTTAAAGGAAAGAAAAACAGCCCAGAAGGTTAACTGTTTCAATTGTTTATGTAAATCATCTCCCTATTTCTCTGTGGGCCTCATGTGAATTGCTGAGGAAACGGACCACCTGTCTGTCTCCTGTATTGATGTGTGCTGTTGAGGTTCAGGATTAGGTTTCAACTCCCTTTGAATACTTCCTAGCCCTGAGAATCTAAAGTGCCGTCTGTGTATAACTTTAGTCCAGAGGCATCGATGGGTAGAACTCCTTGGTGTTTATCTTTCGAAGTCTGAAGTACACATGTCTTTGCAAGTGATGTTTTGTCTTCCACTCATATTTGGACTCATATTTGGTAGAGACATTGGTCTCTACCTGTCTCCCACTCATGATGGACTGCGTTTACCTGGGCTTTACTCTTATTATTATTTGTTAAATTGACGTCGTATTTGGAGTCTACTCATTTAAAATTATATTTATCTTCTACCTAAGAAAACAATTAGTTTTGAGCAGCCCCAAAACTATTTAGGAAAGTCAGAGGAAAGAAAAGGGGAGATGGTGTTAAAAATGAAGTTCTTTAGTTTAGATCTATGTTCTTTCTCTATTTTTTTTTCTTAATTGTGTGTCAGTGACTGTGGCATGCTTCCCCAAATCTAAAGGACTTCTTGCATAGAAGTCCTAGGCTGAAATTCCAAGGCTTAAAGGAAAAAGATTTTTCTTTTGAATAAAACTGGAATGCACGTGATCTGAATGATCAAGTGAACGCTACCAAAGTTATTGAGGTCACTGTAACAGCAAATTCAAAAGAGGTTAAAGAAGACAGCAGTTTCCTGTAGTAAAGACCAGACAGAGATAAGAACTCTACAAAAGGCAAACAAGCAAGATGGTAAAATAAATGTCTTTAACCAAAGGAATACAGTCATAGATCAAGAGTCTCTCAGGTTATTTAAAAGGACTTTTAAAAATTCCTATGATGTGTCTTAGACATTCCAGTCATAATTTCAGAGGCTTCTGTTGTCCAGGCCTGTTAAGAATGAGTTAAGTGGGGTTTTCCAGATCTTTGTGGCTTTTTTTTTCCCCCCAAGAGCATCATTCTGATTTTTAACTTAGAAGCAAAGCTGCTTAACATCATCTGTCAGTGACTTTATTTGGCAGAAATGGGGGCTGGAAAGTGATGTCATTTGTTTTAAGCTTGTATCATTTAATGGACCTTCCTGATCTTCTCTGTTTATAACTTTACTTGGGCTCATCATTCTTGGTACAGTCTAGCAGTGGCATTTCTAAACTCTCAAGAGTGAGACAAAAACAATTAGAATGACAGTTTTTTTTTTTTAAACGTATCATCTGTGTGCATGCAGTTGAAGAAATGCATTTGCTTAAATGCACTTTGTGAGGTTATGTGTGAATAAATGATCCATTACCAAGAGCACTACTGTTTCCACCAGAAGAGAAAAAAAGTTTCCATCCTGCTTCTTTTTTATTTCTTTGGAAATTATGTGGTGGCTGGTGTGAGCCATGCAATTTCACTTTTAAATTTGTGACTTCCAAAATTTCTTTTTCTGTAGCCCCAGAAAATCAGACAGTTGTTATTACATATAGAGAGCAGCTCCACTCAGACATTGAATAGACGATTATAAACACCTGGATTCTTTCCCTTTTCGTGGTGGTTGCTTTTAGAAGTGGGATAAAACCACATTAACCAGAGGACATTGTTATTGGTAATTAGTGGCTTATTCCTGTGCCACATCAATAAAACATCTTGTCTCAAAAGTCTTTCATTTCATTGCCTAACAGGGACCTTGAAATATCATCTAATCAAACTCTTGCATTTGGGAGGTGAGAGGGTGAAGCTATGAGTGACTGTCTAAAATCTCACACTGAGTCATGCTGAACATGCTAAAGCAAATTTGTTTGTTTGTTTGGATTCTATAGATGGCCGACCATGCCCTCTCATTCTCTGGGACTCAACTCTATCTCCAACAAGTAATGAGACCCACTCTTCTGTTAAGCTCACCTGGGGAACTTACCAACAGTTGTTGAAACAGAAGTGTTGGCAGAATGGCCGAGTACCTAAGCCTGAATGGGGTTGTACTGAAATACATCACCACGAGTGGTCCAAGCTGGCACTCTTCGATTTTTTGTTACAGGTAAGCTTATCAGATAAAGTAAGGGGTGATCTAAGGCTGACACTGAGTTATGTAAGGCTAACGCTAAGGAATCTTCTATACTTTGAATTTTCATGAAGCCAAAGTTTAAGTTCTATAGTGGCATTTTGTTATATAGCTTACAGCCACCATTTCTCTTGTTTTCTTTCTAGTAATTTTTTTTGCAAATATTTAATTAAGATTGGACATTGGAGAATAATAGAATGATAAATATTGACCTTCTGTGTAAGTGAGTGACACGGAATATCACAGATGTCTTATAACTCTTGTCCCCTTTTGATGAAGACCTTGTAACTCTCTTCATCCTCTCATTCTGATTACTGCTTTTCCTTTCCTCCATTTTAGAAAAACCTGTTGGCTGCTGTCGTTGTGTCGCTAATTAATACTTTGTAGAATTTAGGACTGTCTTAAGACATTTGAAAAACATTCTCCTTTTGTTAATTCCTCTGTGTATGTGTGTGTGAGTGTGACATTTTGGGAAGGAACTAGAGAGAGGTGAAAATGTAAGAAGGAAACCAGAGTCACAGACTTTCAAGGGATTAGGAACTTTCAAGAAGAGGATGATTTATGGGGTCAGCATTGCAAAACCACCAGTGAGAACAGAGTTGGAGAGCAGGGCATTTGACAAGCAGGCAGTCAGAAGTCACCAAAAACTGTTGTAAGTCCAGCTATGAGGTTCAGACTGGTCTAAAGCATTGTATATATATTATCTCATTTTTTTCCATTTAATTAACATGCTAACTCTGAGATAGGCATCTCTTTCCATTTTATGGGTTGGTAAAAAGGAAACTGAAGTGTAAAGAGTTTTTTATCAAGAACTGCGGAAAGTCTGAGATCTTACCTTTCTCACAAGCTAATAGATTAGCCAGCCACATGTTCATAGATGGTAGCAGAGGACAGAGACAGACAGATGACTTCATTACTCATGGTATAGCAAATGGAACTAGCTTCATGCTCCTTTGCCCCTAGAGTCCCATTGGGATGATACAAAGTAGCTGGTTAATGCTGCATGTAGGGGTTTGTCACTACAGAAGAACTCAAAGCTTAGGAAACCCCCAATCTTATAAGAGGTTGCTAGCAAACCTGTCCAACATTGCCCCAGAAGGAGACATTATCTTTATTATCTTAGTCAGCTGATAAATAAAATCTGACTTCCACATTAGTGGGAAACAATCTTTGTATTTTCCAAGGCTGTTTGCTATAATAACATCCTTGAAGAGACAGTGCAAAGTAAAACCTGATCTAAGATGTGCAGAAATGCCATGGAGAATTGTTTCTAGATTTACCTAACTTGTTCAGTATTACAGAGCTGGTAAGTTCCCAAATAGAGATTTCGGCAGTTTTGGCTGACATGAGATTCCATATTTTTGACCATTATTGTATGGCAACTACCAAGGTATCTTTAGGTTAATAAAGGGGGTTGGTGTGATAAAATGTATTAGCAATAAAATGAAAAATGAGGGCTGAGTAGGTAAAGGTACTTTCTATGAGGCCAGGTGTTTAGGTGAGTGGTTAGTAGAGAGGTTGAAGCTCCTGAAAATGATGACTAGAGGCAGGAGGGATAGGAGAGTCATGAATGTGGCAGTGAAGTCTATAAGAAAGGAATGACCTTGAGGTTTGTAGCTGAGGAACATAAGAGCTAACCTATACTGAATTAGAGGGAAAACCCTTTTAGAAGTTGTCTATAGTGATGTTTGTTTTAATTATGGAAACTTCAACTAAATCTCCATCCATCTTCTGTCTTTGTTATTCTCCTTTCTATTGAGGAAAACTACAACTACATTCAACAATGATGATGTGTTTATGCAGCACCTACTGTGCATTACACTGAAGAAAACTGACACAGGGGTAGCAAAATAGTAAAGACAGTTATCCCCTCTCCCTATCCCACATTTGGGTTTTTAAAAAATTACATAGGAAACAAAAATAGATCCATGTAAGAAGGGCTGGATGGGATAATATAAAATTTCTTACTGATATGAGGTTAAAAAAGAGAGAGAGTGCTTTGCCATAAAATAGTAAAGGAGGGAGAGTTTGAATAAGATTGCAGGCTATAAATGATAAAGAGGATAGGCACAAATGTAAGGAAGGACATGGGGTTGACAATGTTCATAGGATATTTAGGGCATCCTAAATATACCATTTATCTGAAGGAGAGTCATTTGGGAGAGTAGTGATGCTCCCTGCCTATAAGAGATACGATAGAAAACAGAGGAAGAGAGCTTTTTTTCACAAGAGGTGTGTTCGCATTGTAACCTTTGTGTTCATTATCTTGACTGAGCAAGAATGAATTCAAACTGACCCACAGTCTCCTGAGAGCATCAGCAGCTTTTGTCATTGTGCCCATTGTCCATGGTCTTGAGGATGAATGTAAACATATCACTATTATAAGTTTTCAAAGAAGACAAATATTTTAAGAACTTAAACTAATACTGTTAATATTCTAACAATTATGTGATACTTGCTATGTGCTTGGCACAGTTCTAAGCACTCTCTCTGTACTGAGCACTGAGATACTATCTTATTTAATCCTCATAACAGTCCCATGAAGTGGATCTTATTATTATTCATATTTTAGAAATGAGGAAATCAAGGCAAGGAGAAATTAATTAATTTGGCTAGAGTCACAGAGCTGGTATCCAATAGAATCTGTAGTCCAACTGAGGAATTCTGGCTTAAGAGACAAACTTATAAGCAGAGCTTCCTCCTATTCATTTTATAGGGCAATGGTGCCATCATCTTCCAATTTCTCAAGTCAAAAATTTGGGAGTCATTTATATGCCTTGTGATACTTACCCTCATATCCATACAGTGACCAAGTCCTTGAAATATCTCCACCTTCTTTTAGGTATGGCTTGTGCTCGTATCTTAGTTCAGGCTTTGTCATTTCCTAACAGGATGATTCCTCCAGTCCACTCAAACTATATAAGCCAAGATCACCTTTGGCTTGAGATAGTGGGCATCAGGCTGCTGCTAACTCTGCAGGAACGGATTCTATTGGTAGATCAGTTAGTTCTATTTGTAATATACTCCCTTGACCCTTCTGCCCATAGGAGCTTGTGAAGGTGTCTTTCATATTCCTCATAATCCATGAGGATGTGATCTCTGCAAGGCTTTACTGGAACTTGTTATGACACCAGTGGGAGTTCCCAGTTTTGGCTCTGCCTAAAGCATTGACTCTAAAAGTCAGAAGTTAATTTGATTGTTAAGAGTTAATTTGGTTGGTATCTACCAAAGTATATCAAATTATATATATGAAGATGGCATCTGAAAGAATAGACTTACATTCTTTCATTCATCCAACATTTACTTGCTTCCCACAGTGCAACAAACAAAAGACTGATTTCCTCTAGATGCTGCAGCATTTTATAATTTTATCAGGAATATAGAAGAGCAAGTGTTTTCTTCTTTCTTGCCAACCTTGGGAAGTAGAAAACTGATTAATATTTTTACTGATTTTATGGAGGGTAGTAAGGTCTTGCTTATATTTCCAGTTTTTTCATTATGAGTGAGATTGAGGATCTCATACTTTCAAATATGCATTATTAATAGTTCATTTTTTGTGAGTTGCCTGTTCATATAATTCCCATTTTTATTGCATTCCATAGCTTTTCCTTATTTATAAAAACATTTTGTATATCATGAAAATTATTATCAATCTTATATATCTCAAATAATTTTTTTACTTTGTTGTTTTTCATTTGACTTTGCTCATAGTAGATATTACTCCAGAGAAATTTTACATTTTTTATAAGGTGATATCTTAGTTGACCTTTTTACTTTCTGTATTTAGCATCATACAATTTTTATAGAGAGGTGTTTGTTAAAATGTTTGCTGAACAAATAAATGAATAAATGAATATATGTAGGCCATTTTTCATGAGTACTACAGTAGTTATCTTTTATACAGTAATCCTCATCAATTACACTGAGATGTTTACTTTAAAGTCAAATATATGCCTTATTTAAATGGTGATTGTGAATGTGTTGGGAACGCATTGAGTAGAGTTTGTTAACAACTTGAGAAAAGTTCTGCCTGAAGTAAACTAAAATCACTTGTTCTATGATGCTACAACAAGGCAAGGGAATACAGAACCCAGTTGTTAATTTTCTGTATACAACATTCTTTTTGTTTTACCCAATTAACAAATCTACATTCATAAAAGCTATGCCATTTTACTGGGTCTGTAAATGTGATAGAGGCACAAGTAACCTTTTATTCTTGAAGCGTGGGGGTATGAACTGCAGAGACAAAAATTCACCTCCGTTAGGATGCCAAAGAAGAGTATTCTAGAGAGAATCTGAGTTTCTAAGACTTGGGAAATTTCTATCAAAAGGTCAAATAAAATAATAGGAAAAGATTTAGGATGTATAAAACTTGCTTTTTGAACTCGTAGATAGTCTGTATAATGGTTAGGAACTGAGATTCTGGAACCAGTCTGCTACAGTTCAATCCAAATGTCCAATACTAATTTTTTAACATTGAGAAGTTATTTAACCTCTCTCTACCTTGGTTCCCTCAGGAATAATAATAATGTTTATAGAGAGGGTTATTGAGAGAATTCAATACATTTACACACATGAAGAATTTAGTATAATGTCTGTTACATAATAGGTTCAGTGAGTATTACATGTTAAGAAATTCATTATTCAGAAATAATAGTAGAGACTATTACCAATAAAAGAACTAAAATATTTTACCATTATTTTTATTCATTAAATTGTAAGTCATTCCCAAATTGTTATATTTTCTACTCTTATATACTTATATTAGAGACCTTAGCCCATTAAGTTTTAATTGTTTTTGACTAGTCTGTCTTTTTTAATAAGCTGTGAATTTCTTAAGGGCAAGTCCCTGTCTTATCCAAGTCTGTAACCTTTTCAATTAGTAGCACAGTAGCTGAAAATGTCATACTCAGGGTGTTATTTTTTTGATCAAAGGAAACTACCTATTTATATTAAAATATTAAATCAAAAGTGTC